AGCTTTGGTGTGGTGGCCAAAGACACAGCAAAGGAAAGCAATAACGAGGCTTAGCAAGGTACAAAGACTTGCCTGCCTCGGAATAACGGGGGCAATGAAAACAACCCCCACTGCTGCAATGGAAGCACTAATAGGACTCCCACCTCTTCACTATGTGATACAAGGGGAGGCAAGATAAGGTGCTTACAGATTAGGGAATACACTAAGAAATCTTTACATTAGGCCAGGTCACATGAGTATCTCAATGTTAGTGACAGGAGACGTGCTAGACATGAGATCAGATCAGTTAACCAAGAGGTACTCTTTTAATACTCCCTTTGAGGTTTTAATACAGGAAAGAGCGGAGATCACCATAAGGGAGCCCAATGCCCAACGACAGGAACAAACCTGGTATTCAGACGGGTCTAAGACTGCGGAAGGCACTGGGGCAGGAGTATTCTCCAAAAACCCTAATACTAACCATAGCTATGCTATAGGAATACATTCCTCGGTATTTCAGGCCGAGGTATACGCAATTTTGCAATGTGCAAAAACGAACAATGAAAGAGCTGTCGAAAATCAGCATATTCAAATAATGTCAGACAGCCAAGCGGCACTTAAGGCCATATCGAGTCAGAAAGTTACGTCGAGGCTGGTATGGGAATGTATCGAAGAACTAAAAACACTGGCAGACCGTAATAGAGTAAAACTATTTTGGGTGCCAGGTCACAAAGGGATCGAAGGTAACGAAAAGGCTGACGAACTTGCAAAAAGAGGGTCAGAAGAAATACCGGAACCAGACACAAACCCAGGATTACCAGAAAGTACAGTCCGGGGTTTTATAAATGACTGGATTCGGGAACAACATATCAACTATTGGGGAAGCACCCCAAAACAGGCACATGGAAAAGCCTTCATAGGCAGACCATGTCCCAAAAGAACTGAAAAACTACTTTTAATGAATAGGAACCAGTTGAAAGTGATAACAGGGTTTATGACTGGGCACGCCCCAGTAAAGGGACACTTGAACAAAATTGGCATGTACAATGGGGAACTCATGTGCCGACTATGTCACAAGAAACCAGAAACGGCCAAACACATACTGTGCGAATGCGAAGCTCTAGATCGCAAAAGACAGGCTCTTTTTGGACAACCCCAGGTTGATCCAACAAAGTATAGAACCCACTCACCCAAGGATCTGTACAAACTTGTACAAGGTACAAAGGTGATAGAGTGGGTGCTATGAACTAACATGGGGTAAAACACAATAAGCCAATAGGATTCAGTGTTATTCGGAGACACATAGTCAGACGAGCCCAGGAGAGAAAAAAAAATGATAATATTATGAAATAATAAATTAAATAGGAATTAAAAGAGATATCTTGTGAAGAATGTATGAAAATGGATTAAAAGTAATTAATAGAGCAGATTTTGAATGCAAACAAAAGGACAGGAACAGAGGAAATTTTGAACAAAGTATTAAAAATGTAATACAAATTGAATACAAATATAAGGGAATAAGATACATTTTGGGATACATTTCATATGAAAAATGAGTTTCTTATAAGTGAATGATGTTACCCATTTCATTATATAGTTGTAGTTCAAATTTGTTTTTGAAATAGAGTTAATTTATTAGAATTTTAGGTTGAGTTAATTTTTTTATCTTTGTTTCCATTAATTCGATTGTTGATGTTAAATATGTTAATTTTTTTAGGGTAGTCATTGAAATGTTAACAGATAACGATGAGAAGTTTTTGTGTGTTTTCTGTTATTTTGTATATGTTAAAGTCCGTTCATGCTTTTATAATTGTTTTTTATTACAACTGACTCCTTGACATTCCATTTAGGTGTGCCTGATGATGAAGTGACAGCTTCGAAACCGGTCGCCAATTAAATTGACTTGTGAGAAATAAAGGACCTTTTCTTTAACCCCTTACACTTAAGTTTTTTTAATGAATTTTGACAGTTTTAAAAAGGATTCGGGAGACTGATTCATTTTTTTGTTGCATTTAACAGTATAACCTTAGCTTTTACAGACCTTAAAAACCTAAATTTAAACATTTCTCAAAAATACCTGACATTAATTTTTATCTAAATTCTTAATTTTCTGAGCTAGGGGAGGGGGTTTCTAGATAACACGACTGGTGCTTAAGTTTATTAAAATTCGAAATTTGCGTTTCTGAGATAGTATTAATAAAATAGAATTTTTTTTCCAGATATTAAGGAAGGATCGTTTGGAATGGTCCACCTGGTAGATAGAATAATGTTATGTTTTTATGTTCCTACCTATTTTAGTTAATAATCCTAATGGCATGGATTTTCGTATTCTATTCTATATTATAATAAACAGAAAACAATATATTTAGAATAAAATTTCTTTTAAAATTTTTCACAAAGAATAAATACCGGATTAATTTAAAGCTACTAACTGCTCATTTGGAATTGCTTGATACATATGCCTTACGTTATTATACGTCTAAAGACAAATAAATTTAAATTATCAAATAACAATTTTATATTACGTAACCTACTGAATTTTTAAAATTCAAATACATTTTTAAAATATTTAGCAATACAACTAATATATTTATTACAAAATATTCGTCTCTTTTATTTTTGAAACCCTTCCTTTTCTATGTTGATCTGTATTTCCACCACAGGTTAAATAAAAATTTATGTAAATTATATAGGTAGGTACATATTAGGTAAATTTTGCTCTAATAAATAAATATAATTTCTAATACAAGTTAATTTTTCTATTTTTACAGAACTGGTTTCATTATGAACAAATACAAAATTCAGTTATCCTCGGTAAATCTGGAAATTTGATATTCAATACATGCAAAACATTCTTATATTTCGACTTTAACTGAACTTTATTTTTTTATAGAAAAGACGGCCTAAGAGCTGAAGAAACCAGCGCTAAATAGAAAATTTACCTTTAACCATCAACAAATACTATTTAAAGGTAAAAATTAACTGTATAATCATTAAAATCTACTTTTTAAAAATAAAAGGTTACTTTTAAACCACTACACACTACTTTTTAACCACTAAAAACAATGTTTTAAAGGTAAAAATTAATTTTTTATCAATTAAAACTACCTTTTAAAGGTAAAAAAAAGTTTTTTTATTGCAAAGAAAGTAATTTCTTAATCAGTACCTAATTTTTAACCAATAAAAACTACTTTTAATTAATAAAAACTATTTTTTAACCACTAAAAGCCTAATTTTTAACCAGTAAAATCTATTTTTAAGAGATAAAAAATAATTCTTTAACAATTAAAACTGCCTGTTCAAGGTAACAAAATACTTTTTAACAAGAAAAATACTGTTTAACCACTAAAAACCTACTTTTTAACAATAAAAAACTACTTTTTAGTGAGTAAAATTTTACTTTCTAACCACTAAAATTAATATAAACTAAAAAGTAATTTTTTAGGGACTAAAAAGCAATTCCAAAAAAGTAAATTTATTAGCCGTAGGAAGGTACTTTGGCTGTCGCCTATTTCAATAGAGTTTTTTTAAGGGTTAATACATTTTAGCAAAAAATTTCCCTCGATGTATTTCCGTAACAAAGTATTTTTGAGACATAGTGTAAATGACAAAAATACCTTTATTTTAGCTCCAAAATACATTCCTGAAGTTATGAATTGTACTTATCGAACACCCTGTATAACAAAACTGACTTTCTCATATCAATATATATTATATATTTTTGTAGCAATTCTCCGACATCTGTAAATGACAGGTGACTGTACACTACACGTATTATACAAACACTGTAGATAAAAAATACAAAATATTTTAAGAGTACTCCAGTACTAAATTAATAATATTCTTGTGTGCTTCTAAAGCACTTTTACATCATTTGAAAGTGACGGGGAATTACATGCCTGAAAAACGTCGGCCGCCTGGGGGCGGGGATGCTGACACAAATGCTTTGACGGGACTTCAAGTATTTTGGGGTCATTAATGTGTATTTGCTGGGTAATTACTTATACTTAATATTATTAATTGAATTTAAATTTTGTATTACATTATAATTGACAAAAAATTTATAATTAAATTTAGTATTTTGTTGCCTCAAAATCGTTTTTTCTCATTTAATTTTAATTTCACCCATACTCACAATTACCTCTTCACATTCCGCAATGAAAAGTGAAGTTTCCACTAAACTAATCGAATCATCTTATATGTATTAATTTCATTTTAAAGAATGCTTAAATGAAAATCAAATTCGACGACTTTAAGCATTTTTTCCAAAAGTTATACCATATAAGAATTTATAACGAATTTATTCACTAGTTTACGTACGCACTGTATACAAACCCTAAGTGTGATATAATATGATATTACGTGAATAATATAATAACAAAAAAGGGGTTGTGACGAGCTGGGCCTACTAAGAACAGATTCATTTTAGACATGTGTCGAGATGAGCAAATTTTAATCATCCTGCCTGTGTCATGTGCCGTCAAGTTCAAGGTCAAAAAAGTTTCTAAAAGAAAAAGTGTCGGTTTCGTTTTGCTCCTAATCTGGGGAAAATATTTAAAACTCCAGCTGTATAGATCTTAAATTGAAAAAAGTTATTTCTAAAAATGTTAGCAACAGAAACAGTAAATTACAACTGAACCGTCCCATGCAGAAAGGGCATATGTCCACTTTAATCAATATTGACATTTTGTCATATTTGTTTGTTTACCATACATAAACAAATCTTTTTTTTTTTAATTTGGTGTCATCGGCATCAATCTTATATGTAAAAATGGGACGGGTCCCGTCAGTAGTCTCTATGAAACACATACTTTGATTTTGAAAATCAAAGTATGTGCTATGAAATCACATGAATCAAACAGAGTGTTATGCAGAATGAGTCCTAGAACGTATGACCTTTCTGCAAAAATGAAATGAAATGTTATTTCAAAAGTAAGGTTATAACGTTTGTTTATTAGTAGTAGCAGGTGCTATGATAATGGAAGAAAACGTTGAAAAAAGAGGGAAAAAAAGGTTGAGAAATGATGACAAATATAAACGAAGTGTGGTTAAACAAGCACAAATTGAAGGAAAGTCGTACAAATCCTATAAGGGTAGAGATGTTGTTGCCAAGCAGATTGGACAGCCTTGCAGGTAAAAATTGTAACATTATCATTTATTCATAATATTATTTTTATTTACCTACTTTCTGCAAAACATTGCTTTTTTCCAGATGTCAAAAAATATGTTTCGAAAAATTAAGCGATGATGAAAAGACACATATTCTCACGCGATTTTATACTTTGAAAATAAAGGACGAACAAGATATTTACTTACAATGACTGAAAGGTGTGAAGGATATCAAACGAAAACAGCCAAGAAAGGACCAAAACAATAAAATTAAAGCAGCTATATATGAATATTTTGTATTGCAGCAATCTAACAAAATTTCCATTTGCTTATATCTCTTTATGCAATTTCTATCAAGCATGTTAGGCGTATAAGAAATTTGGCTAAACTAGGCATATCACCAAGAGATCAACGTGGAAAACAACCAAGTGCTAATGCTTTTCCAGAAAATATAAAACTTGCGATTCGGGAACATATTGAATCTTTTCCATTAAAGATTAGCCGTTACTCTGGTCGAGAGGTCCAATATCTACATGCTCAGTTGAATATAGTAACAATGCTTCAATTATTTTATGAAATGTATCCGCAATTCAAAAATGTAAGCTACCAGTAAGTACTATGCAAAATATTTTAGGGAAAACTATAACTTTAATTTTGGACGTCCTCAAGTAGATGTCTGCTCTCAGTGTGAACTTCTGAACTTGAAAATAAACGACCAAAACTTAAACGAACATGCAAAGAGAGTAGCTGTCGCTGAATTACTTGTGCATAAACGTAGAGCCCACAAATTTTATGCAAAACTGAAGGAACATGTCTAATCAACAAGTTCAAAAGCGTGTTTTTGGGACATACTATTACGAAAATTATGTTCAATAGCTCATTCGATTCGGAATAATGTCTAGATCAATGTGTGGAGAAAAATTTTGCAGTGCATAAAAAATTGCAAAAGTTATAAACAATTAAACACCTCAAAAACATGGTGTTTGGTTTTTCGCCTATACTTTGTAAACTATAAATATTTTTTAATTTTCCAAAAAAGATCATTAAAGAGGAGGAAATTTGCTATAAATAAGTTTCGACTCCCGGAACTGTACCTTCATTATTTATAATTTTAATTTAACGCTCAAAGTAGCCTTCCGCGCGCCATTTTTAGGTTGCGTGCACGGCGTCGAAACCAAGTACGTTACATAAAATAATTTTATTAATTTTTTTTTGCTTCGTGGAGCTCTTTATATACATATAAAACAAAATAGCTTCATAAAGATTTAAAAATTGTTAATACTTTATTTTTTAAAGTTTGCAAAAACAGAAAAGTCACAGTGGTGCTATAAAAAAAATTTTGTTTAATTTATTATAATATTACTGTTTTAATGTCGAGAAAAGACATTTATTAATTAAATAAAATCATTTTTTCCTCCATTTGTTTATAAATTTTTTATAAACAAATGGAGTATTTCAATTTTTTTCAAATTTTTTTTTTTACAACTTTCTGGATAATTGCCAATTATGATTTTTAATAATAATAATAATAATAATAATAATAATAATAAATCGTCTTTATTAAGGGAAAATAATGTATATATGATTACAAAGTTTTTTTTTACAAGGGAATATAAAAAAAAAGAATAGTGATGCAATAGTGGCGAAGTCTAGCTGTAATAGCTACTCCTATTTAACCACTAAAACACCAATGTATAAAAACAAAAACAAATAAAAACAAACAAAAAAAATATATTTGCAATGGAGCAAAAATTCCAATAATTAATTTTTGTTTTTTTTTTATTTATTTTTTCTATATAAAGCTAAAAAATAGTATTCAAAAATATAATCAAAAGTAAAAAACTAAAAAGGTCAATTAAATCTAAGCTCAAACAAAATTTTGAACGTAATATTTTTTAAAGTATTTTTTGAATAAATTTATGTTTAATTTTTTTAATTCTAAAAGAAGAGAGTTGTACAATTTAATAGAATTATATACAAAACTGCTGTTCGATGACGGGGTATTGTGTAAGTTGTGACGTCGCGGAGGTTTCGATCATGAATTGTTTTACGAGTTATAAACTTTTTAATTAGTGGGGAAGAGCTGTCAATGCATTTTATTAATTTATGAAAATAGTTACCTAAATGGAGTGTCCTGCGTTCCTTCATATTAAGCCAATTTAATTCTCGTATTTTAAGAGTAACATGATCATATTTACGAAGATTAAATATTAATTTTGTGCACGAATTTTGAATTTTTTGAATTCTATACTGAGTGTTCAAGTCTAGGCAGGGTCCATAGATAAAATCGCAGTAGCTTAGTTTGGACAATACGAGAGTTTCACTGAGTTTTATACGTAGATTATGATTAAGAATATGCCTGCTGGAGTAAAGTAATTTTAAAGAAAGATAAGCTGAACGGGTAATTTTACCTACATGTTCTCTAAATCTTAAATCTGTATCTAAATATATACCAAGATTTCTAGCTGGGAATGAATTCTTCTAAGTGTTTATAATACACCGTAATTTTTTTAAATTTTTGAATTTAATTTTATTAACTTAAAAAAATTATTTTATGTAACGTACTCGGTTTCAACGCAGTGCGCCCAACCTAAAAATGGCGCGCGGAAGGCTACTTTGAGCGTTAAATTAATATTATAAATAATGGAGGTACAGTTCCGGAAGTCGAAACTTATTTATAGCAAATTTCCTCCTCTTTAAGGATCTTTTGTGAAAAATCCAAAAATATTTATAGTTTACAAACTATAGGCGAAAAACCAAACACCATATTTTTGAGATGTTTAATTGTTTATAACTTTTGCAATTTTTTATGCACTACAAAATTTTTCTTCACACATTGATCTAGACATTATTCCAAATCGAATGAGCTATTACATAAGTTTCGTAATAGTATGTCCCAAAAACACCCTTTTGAACTAGCAAAAAAAGGGCTTGACGAAATTTGTTCATTTCTATTGGACTACCTTACTAATAAAACACCCCCAACCATTCAAGAGGTGTACCTCTTTAGCGATAACTGGAGGAAAATAAAAATCACAGCATTGTCAGGATGCTCCTAGCATTAACAGATACAGGTCGATTTCAAAAAATTACTTATTATTACCCACAAAGAGGGCATTTATTCCTTCCTTGCGATCGCAATTTCTCCGAGATAAAAAGACAGATTCGAAAAAAGGATAGGTTTTTAACTATTCATAAAATAACAGAGATGATCATTAGCAGCAGCAACAAGAAAAAGTTTATTGTTCAAGAAGTATCAACAGACAAATAGGTGGGCATGTCGCGAAATATTAAGCAGTCAGTTCATTTTACGATTTTTTCCTATTGTTTTTTTAAATATGATTTAGAAAAACCAGGTTGTTTAGAGGTAAAGGAATACATAGATGGGTTGTCAACACACACTTTCCAGTTAAGACAGCCTGGTAGGGCTACTTATATAAATTTTCCAAGTAATCTCGCATATCCCACAGGTCAAGTACCAATAAAAATGAAAAAGATCACTGACATAAAGAAGTGTGTACAGTTTGTAGAAGAAGAACATAAGAATTTCTATGACTTAATCTTACAGTGGCCAAAAATAGAGGGCGATAATGCAGATGACTAAAAACTTATTATTTTATTTAATAGACTGGTATTTTGTATTAACATATTTTTTTTAATAAAAAAATGGCTAAATATAAGTTGTTTTTTAGTTTTTAGCAAAAATGTCCAATTTTTTAAAAAAATTCTCAATGATAACCAACTCACCTAAACTTGATAAGTTTGCATGAATAAACTTTCTTTTTATATATATAATTACCCTTAAAATTTTCAAAATTAATAAAAAAAATTGCTCGAAGATATTTAGTTTTTCTTGATTCCTGAAAAGTAAACTTTTTGGACATGTGCCCTTTCTGCATGGGACGATTCAATTATATTTCCTGATAATTTTCAATTGTGTATCTTATCAATTGAAACAACAATTAATATGTCTAATAAATGAATATCGACTGCAGTTAATGGATATATAATCGTTAAATCACATGAAAACGTCATATATAACACTGAAACTTTGATGATATAGTAAATAATTTTTTTTAAATATTGTTAGGGGAATTTAAAAAATAATAGGCGCTTCGCAAGTAAACTACAAAAATCGAAATACCAACGAACCCATCCGATCAATTCGATGTATTCATTTAATTTACGTTTAATAATCGATACCAACTGTAAAGATGCCGAAAAAGACCACGAACCAACACAAAACAAGCAATTAAAATAAACTACCGCCAAAATTCAAGTGAACTGCCACATACCGCTATAGCGCTAACACCACACGCAAAAACTTCGCACTGCACTTTCGCAACTTCCACCGGAATCAGTAGACACGATGGATGATACCGTAGTGGTCATGATAGAATGCGGTTCTATATTGTAGCGTAAAGGGGTTGCGAGGTCTAACGAGCTTGTCCGGTCTGTGACGATTACCCGCCATTGGCGCTGGGACGGGATGAAAATAAGGGAATAATAATCCCCGTGAAAAAAAATTTGGCTACTACTCTCGTTTGATTTATTTTCTGCGAGCCTGCCAACTTTTAGAAGAGTCCAATGCGGCACATTTTCCCAGAGGCGTATCTAACTTGACGTGAAAGTTTTTATGTTACTGCATAATTCGGACAACGTTGCAGCATTAATTTGCGGTAATAATTAAAGGTAACCTCCTTTATTTAGTATTTATAGATTTGTATATATTCAAATCTTATAGAGACTGCAAAACTTTCGGGTAACTAGATATAAAGTTCGAGTGGATTATTTCAATAATTTTAAAATGAATCAATAATAGTACTCAATGTTTTACCACGTGACTGGCTTGGAGTTTAAAAGTGATTGATAGACACACTTAACAAATTACAATTTTTTATAATTAATTTTTTAAATGTGATTAATAGTTTCGGCCTATATGTTCATCTTCAGGATTATAATTCAAAATAACGAAGTGAATATTTGCGGGACGAGCAGAGCTAACAAGTTACATAAAACAGCATTTCGTAACGTGTTACATACAATATTTTTCAAATTTTGACTAGAGTATTTATAAAATTCTGTTTTGGTAAAAAATTACTTATATCTAGGCAACCAATATTACTTTCTTATATTGACAGTTGCATATGCATAAATTAATTCATTTTATTGACAAATATAAAATTATATTAATTTATTCTAATAGACTTATAGTGTATTTATATTGCTTATTAAAGGTTTTAAGTTTTCAAAAAAGTGGGTTATTTTGTCATGTATTGTATTTTAATTATTTTTATGCTGATTTATAATGGAAAATAAGGACCAAAAAACATTACTACTAGGTTGTAAATTTAATCAAATTTTATTTTTCAATATAAACTTTCAATAACAATGTCAGTAACCTGCCTACTCTTTCGTTATATAATTTATACAGAAAGTGAATGATATACAATGTGGGTTTGGAAAAACAAAGAAATATTAGTAGGTTTGAGAATTAAATTTCGATCGAGAACGTAATGAAAGATTAGGCTTTCATTATGAAAATACCAAAATTAAAAATATTACAAAGAGAAATACATGATTATGGTAAAAACAAAATTGCAGACATTTTATATTAAAAACCAGCAAAGTGCGAATCGGACTCGCGCATGAAGGGTTCCGCACCATCGTATAAGATTTATTATTATATAGGTACTTTTTTAATACTTTATTAAGATCGTGCAAAAAAGCCAAAAAAAAACAGGTTTCTTTAATTTATAATTTATTATAATTTCAACTGTCTACCTATTACGGAACATAAGATACAGCTTGTCGACAGACAGACGGACGGACAGCCGAGGTTTAATAATTGGGTCTCGTTGGTTACCCTTTGGGTACGGAATTCTAAAAAGCAAGTGATGAAGGACTACATCAGCTTCGGGCCCTGCTTTAAATTTAATAACAGAACAATGTCTAGTAATAAATAAAAATGGAAGATAAACAAGTTGAAAAACTCACCATAATATTTAATTCTAGTAATGAAAATTACAAAGGTGCAAGGTCCCATCGCAATATTGCAGTTTTTTTATAGAAGAAAATATAGTGAGATTTTTCATCCTCTCTTCCTTTCTTATTTTTTTTGTTTGAATTTCTGTTTTTTTCCCTTTTATCTTTTTTTTTTACATGCTACTTTTAAACAAATTTAATTTTTACATTTTGTAATTTTCAATTAACTTTATTTAAATTCTTAGTAATAATAAAAAACGTGCTTTATTGAAACCAAAATGTTACAAATATGGCTACTGAGTTTTTTTATGTCATTTATGCTTTTTATTTAGTTATAGTATCTGTATCTGTAACGTATGGAGGGTGGTTACCCCCACGGCACTTAGGCCTCATTAGGCCCATTGTGCATCCTCCTAAGATGATAGGCACCTCCAAGCTCGTGAACCAACCTACAGATTTAATGTAATTGACAACAGAAATCTAATAAATGAGAGCGTCAAGCAATCGCAAAGGATATGCTCGATGGTCTCATCTTCGTGATTGCACCCTCTTCAAAGTGCGGATTCTGACAGCCCCATGATATGGAGATGCTTCTGTACTTGGCAATGGCCAGTCAGAATGCCTCTGACTAGGCGCAGATTCTGTCTAGTCACAGGATAACTTAAGAGCTCTCTGGCAACTCTTCAATTTCTTGTTTCATCCTTTCTTTCCTGGAATTTCACAAGAGAATGTTCTTTAATTAGATATGTCACTACCGATTTTGTTAGGCCAATAGAAGGACCAGGTCCAAAAAGTATTTGGTTGGCTGCTTTCTTGGCTAGTGAATCAGCAAGACGGTTATCTTTCGATGTGGCGTGACCTTCGATCCATCTTAAGGTGACCACCTTGTTGATGGATACTTCGACCAAAGCTTCGTGACATTCTACTACTAACCCTGAAAAAATTCGTGGTCTGTTCAGGGTGAGTAGTGCTTGTCTGCTATCTGTATAGATGAGTATGTTCCTTCCAGTGATATTGTTTCTGGTTATTTCTTTTGCTGCTATGAGAATCCCCGTTAGCTCTGTTTAAAATATTGCTCACAGCCCATTTGATATTTAGGTCGGTGTAGATATGAATCTTAGCTGCCACTTCTATTTCTTCTATTATAACTTTTTATGACTTATGGAAGATATATCTCGGTGAGATAGAGTCCATGTTCGCTTGAAGCAGTGGGAGCGTATCGAGCGCATCCTGCCAAAAGTGACGTCTCGCCTCACCAGATCCTACATCAGGTTCTATTTCAACCGTGCGAAGGCGTGTCATTGTCGTCAAAGTAACCTCCTAGATGTAAATATCAAGGGGAGTGAGACTAAGAATGACTTTCTTCGCTCTGGTGAGTGTTGTTTTCATGGCTCCTGGTATGTTGAGACATGCTGTTCTTTAAATTTGTTCTAGTTTACGAATAGCTGTTAATTTTTGGGTTTTCGGTACCCAGACAACTGCACCATATGTAAGCATAGGTCTTATGATAGTAATAGTAATATTTCTTAGTATTTTAATTAGCAATAAATATTAGTAATTATTTTTTTATTAAACATTTTTTTTATTGCATTTTTTAATTGGGTTTATCACATATTTTCCTCTTTCTTCACTAGGTATGCCAGATGATGAAATAATATAACATAGAAGCTGGTCGTAATTTTGTAAAAATACATATCTTTGACAAATTTTTTTTTTTTTTCATTTTTATTACCTATAAATTACCATAACTTCACATATGGCTACCGTCCTATATCACTTATATCAGTTCGTTCGTGTGAATTCTAATTACTGTAATGCGATCCATTTTCTGCTCTGATCCCTTAAGTCCCTCTTTGTCTCATACGATAACCAAAAAATTTAAAAACATAAGTTAACCCCCACCCCGAATACGACAGTAATGGGATGACTATGGAAATGGAACGTCAAATATTAGTCTGGAATATACTAAAACACAGTAGAATAAATCTTCGGTAATATTTATTAAATTGCAATTTTTGACGAAGAATATTTTAATAACAGTCGAGAAATTTGGTGGAAATAACCTGAACCTTCACCATTTTATGTAATTGGACTGTGTTGCTATCGTATCATCGAAATAGTATAGAAAGCCAATTCCACAGATCAAGGAGCAAATAGTATGTTGAAGCGCATACTTTTAACGCTTAACAGTACCGGCGTGGACAGGACCGTCTCAAGTTTTATATTGATCAAATATATAAGTGAACCTAATCATGTTTCAGATTTGTAGTCATACATTTTTGTTACTTATATATAAAAAATTCAAGTATACGTACATGGTTTTAAAAGTCCTTGTTAAGAGCGGCGTCTTGCCATATCTAAGAAACTTTTTTTTAACTGAACAATTTCGCATTTTTTTCACAAAATTATTAAAGGAAAATACCTAATAGTATATTACATTACGAGTGTGGAAAGTAAAATTTTTCACACGAGTGGAAAAATTCATAGTTAAGTCAACGATTACATGTGGTTTAGATACCAAAAGTAAAAGTAATTGTTCGAATACTTTAAAAGAACTTCTTTTCTTAAAATATCTTTACAACTACCAGGCACACTTCATGAACAGTTTTCAATATTAGAATTAATTCCAGGAAGTATATTTTTCCCGAAAGATACGTATAAAGTCAACCGTGCATATACGGCAAAATTTCTA